CAGTTACGTAAGTCAGGTAGTGGGTACATTTCTTTTTTAACCATATCAGCTCTTTCCTCATTCATGGTTTTTCCCTCCTGTCCCTACAAGATGTTCAGTTCATTTTCCACATACAGTTTAGTGAGAACCACTGTTGTCTTTGTTCCACCTTTTTTATGCCTTTTTTACCCTCCCAAAGACAAAAGGAAAAGAACAAAAACAGCAACAACAAAATATCTCATTTCCTTTCCTTGAAGTTCATTTCACAAAATATTATTTTATATGATCATATGAACATAGTTACTGAGCCATTGTGATCCACTCCTATGAATATCCACCTTTGGTCTCATTGTGGTATATGTAGAGACCGGTATAACATCAAATTACACCTCACCCCTGCTAGAATGGTCATTATTAAGAAAACTAACATGCTGGTGGGGATATGGCCAGAAGGGAACCCTACTGCACTGTTAGTGGGAATGTAAACTTGTTCCACCATTTTGGAAAGCAGTATGGAAGTTCCTTGAAAGACTAAACATGGAGCTTCCCTATTAACCACCAGTTCCACTCCTGGGCATTTATCCAGTAGAACACAATGCCACATTAAAGCGACCAGCACAATGTTCATTGCGACATTGTTTACCAAAGCTAAGATATGGAATCAACGGAGATGCCCCTCAGTAGATGAAGAGATCAAGAAAATGTTGTGTTACATGATGTAATTCTGTGCTTCCATCAGAAAGAATGATATTGTACCATGTGTAAGAACCTGGAAAGACTTGGAAAACATTATATTAAGTAAAGTAAGCCACACCCAAAGAAACAGGTTGCTTCATTTCCTTCATTTTTTTTTAAAAAACAATATTATTCCTCCATCAAGAAGAATTAAGTACAGTAGAAGTTCTTGGTCCCTGTTACTACAAGGGAGTGTTCTTAGCTTCTCGTTTTTGACAGTACTTTATGTGACAATTGCATGATGTGCCCTTGAAAAGTATCCCTGCTCAAGGTTAACTGACTGAAACACTGAAGTTGGTCACTACTCCCTTATCCTTCAAAGTAGTCAGACAGAGTGATGTTACAAATTAGATTTTGGTACACAATTTGTTAAAAATCTGTAGGTTAAAAATTGTTGAAGCCAGAAAAAAATAATTTTTTTTTAAATTTACAATAAATAAAAGTATACCTCTGCCTAATAAGCTGGTTGTTTCAATGTTTTTAGGCATACAGTACATTAGTGACTATAGAAATAGTGTATATATTAGCGTATATAGAAAAATTGAAAGTTGAATAAAAGAAAAAGGGGAAATCATTTATTCACTGTCTAAGGATGCCTATTAGAAATACTTTGGTGAATTCCCTCTTGCTTTCAGCCAGTGATACTTAATATGTGTTCATCTCATAGCTAACAAATACTCATTTTTGCTTTGAAGGAAAATTTGAGAATGGTGTTGCAGAAGGAATGGTGGACCGTAGATTAAATCCCATTTCAGCCTTTCGACTTTCAGTTATTCACAATTCTGCTGTGTGGGCCATTCTTAATGAGGTAAGAATAAATCAGTGAAACTGCTAGCTACTATATGCTCATTAGGCCTTAATTTTGCATGTAAGGACTTTGTAAAATTAACTGCCTTATCATTATTTTCTGTTTCAGATTCATATAAAGAAAATCACCAATTGATCTTCTAAAGAACCAATTTTCCTCCCCCTTGAACCTGTCATTTAAAGATAGTTAAGCATGTACCTTTTTTTAAAAAAACAAACAAACTTGAATACTACCTCTTGTGAAATCTACTGTAGATACGACAATTGTCATTTCCACTTGGAAAGTAAACCTCCCATGGATAATTGTATTCATTTGAAACTCAGCTGTCCTCCAGTTTTAACTTGTCACAAACATTTTACAATTATGACAGCCTGTTAATATGACTTGTACTATTTTGGTATTATACTAATACATAAGAGTTGTACATATTGTTACATTCCTTAAATTTGAGAAAAACTAATGTTAAATACATTTTATGAAGGGGGCACTTTTGATGTTCATTTATTTTACTATTATAGACCCTCTTTTATAGATTATCAGGGATGATATATATATATATATATAAATATATAAATACACATAAAATGTTATGGAGTTAATTTATTAGAAATACTTAAAAGTACATATTTTTGTGCAGTAAATTTTTGAATCAATACTTTTTTTGAAAACAAGTTACCTTGCTTTTTTAAGTTCTTTCTATATTTTTCTTTGGAAATGCAAACATTACAGATCAATTCCATTTTTCAACTGCACTGCCACTTAAGGTTGATTATAGGTGGATTTCTTAACTTGAAGTACTTTTATAATTGCTGTGATTCTGAAAAAAATATTTTCAAAGGCATTTATCATTCCTTAAAGCCAAGATTTTAAAGACCAATGTTCTTCCTGAGGGTTATTTTACTGTATTGTATATGGCATGTGACCACAGAAAACCAGTCTGATAAATTTCAGTGTTTTCAGTATGATGCCCTCAGCCTGAATCACCATACACTTCACTCATTACATTTCCTCTGGTGTGGCAGATGAGACTCTTTTTTCCTTTTTAATCTTTGTTTTTAATCTGTGAGTCAGATACATTGTTTCCTGTTCATCCTTTTATATCTTCAAGTCTAGTTCTGACTGTTTTCTAGGCAATGCTACTGTATGAATCAATAATGGATATAATTTTAAAGAAAAACAAAATTGTAATATTGGTTTTTGGTGAAAGGTATTGTAGCAGTTGTATGTTTTGCCAAGATAATTTATTCTATTGCATTATAAACTGACAAATCCTATGTCCAAGTGAGTGCTTATTACTCCTAAACAGTCAATTTCAAATAGTCAAATTTCAGATGTATAAAAAAAGAATGTTATCAGATACTACTAGTTACATGAAGATGCTTCAACAATCAGTAATCTTTACAAAAGTATTTCATTTTAAATAATTATAAATTCTCACATTGGTTCCAAGCCAGTCTGCTTTGACAAAACCAGTAGGTTGCAGGTGTCTTGCCAATGTTGAGCCCTGAGCTTTCTGGGCAGCTCAGGTGATGGTCTAGGGCTGTGGAAAGTTCCAGCTGGTGGTTGACAGCCTGCAGGGGCTTCACTCTTTACCAACTATGTAGAACAAAAGCACCAAACAGCCTCATTTTCTGTCTGGTGTTAAGACAGGGAGGTTCAGGAAACATGATAAGCGTTGAGGTTCTTCTTTTTGTCAGTTGTAGGGGCTAAACTCTGGGCCTGGGCGCTGCCCCTCAGCTCTTCAGCTCAAGGCTAGTGCACTACCACTTGAGCCACAGCACCACCTACGGCTTTTTTATGCTTATGTTGTGCTGAGGAATTGAACCCAAGGCCTCATGCATGCAAGGCAAACACTCTACTATTGAGCCAACTTCCCAGCCCCAAGTTTCAGTTCTTTTCCTTCTATCTTGTAATCATTTTTTCTTTTCTTGATTAAAAAGTTAATCTAACTGTTAATAATGATTTTTATGTCAAATGATTTTGTGTCAGGCTTTATATCCGGCTAGAATCTTTATTTGGGCTTATTAGGCTTCATTTCCTTTAATTTACTTTATTTTCTTCTATAATTAACCTAGTGTTCACAAACAAATTTCTTCAAAAAGAGGAATAATTTTTTTATTATAAAATGCTGGCACCAGCTTAGATTATTACTAAATTACTGTTAAGCGACTTAGTAACAGAAGGTAAAAATTCTTGCCTTTGAGTCTGCTTGGTCTATAGGTCTTCAGTAGCCAACTGAACATTGCCTTCAAGAAAGGCAAAGTTCTGAAAATCTAGGGTGGAGAAAGGATTGTGCTCCAGATGCCATTTGTTATGGCTTCTTGAACAACCCTGCTTGAACAAACTTGTTAAGCTTGCTTTTTCCTGCTGCCACACTTGGCTTCCACTCAAGCTCTGTGCATCCCTCTTGTTCCTAGGAATCTTTTCCACCAAATCTTTCATTCAAAGAATTTCTTCCCTCCTTTCGATAATCTTGGTGGGCCAATGGGCTGTCCCAGCCATCTTTCTTTTGCCTAGCTTCTTTTGCCAGCCATACTTGCCACACATGAACACACACATTTAGGTGTCCAGCTTTGATTGTGTATGGTGTGTGTTCTCTCTTGACACACTTAGAGCTCAAGGGGACAGCTCTACTTGTGTCCTCCACTACAGCAGATAGGCTGACGCATGGCTGCTTTCTGCAAGCACCGACAGTGCAGGAGCAAAGATTGGAGGAAGGGAAGAGTGGTGGGGCTGGAAGAAGATAAAAAGGTAAACACTTGGCCTTGAAAAGATACAGAACCATTCTTCCCAAAATAATGAATGGGAAAAGTATCAAATGGTAAGAATTCCACACACATGCATGCACACGGACACGCGCGCACACACATGGCTTGGCATCTGGTGTGCATTTCAGGTAAACTATGTAAATCCTTGAACAGTGCTGGCAGCCACAAGGCACATGGTAACTCTAAATTATTAATGTAAAAATTTCATTTTTAGAGTATTATTTATACTTTTAAATATACTTTTAGTACTCTTAAATGTTTTTTAAACATTCATTAAAGTATTCATTATTACATAAACTTCATTCAAGCACTCAGTGGCCACATGTAGCCAGTGGGTCAGCACATTAGACACTAGAGATACAGAACATAACCATCATTGCAAAAAGTTTTGTTGGCTAATACTGTGAAGAATACAAATGTGAACATTTTAGAAATTAATCCTGATAATGAGGGCAGATGGGCAAAGAATTTAGTGGCTGCACCAGTAAATGATTAGGCATAGCCATTTTTAAAAATCATCAGAAAGGCTGGGTGCCAGTGGCTTATGCTACTCAAGAAACTGAGATCTGAGGATGGCTGTCCAAAACCAGCCAGGGCAGAAAAGTCAATGAGACTCTAATCTCCAACCACCAGAAAACCAGAAGTGGTGCTGTGTTTAAAAGTGGTAGAGCATTAGCCTTGAGTGGAAAAACTTAGGGACAGCTCTTAGGCCCTGGATTCAAGCCCATGACTGACCTCCCCCCCCCCAAAAAAAATCATTAGCAAAATTGTAAGGGCTTTCCTTTAAATCTTTCATAACTATAAAGAACAAAGTTGTCTCCCAATAATGTTGCCTCTTAAAAAAAGCTTTGGTTATAAGAAACCCATAGCAGTTTGGTTATATGTGAACAGCATGTTGCTTGTTCCAGTTAATAGCAGTGTATATTTGTAGTAAGCAGAATTCTCACAACACCCCTGTGACCTTGTATAATACCTTCCACTTTGGTTGTAAGTGGAACTGTGAATTATGATCCATGCTATATAGTGAAAGGAAGGTTATCTAGGGATAACTAGTTGAATCTCATGATTCCATTAAAAGCAATTTTCTCAGGCTGGCAAAAGTCAGACAAAGCACCCTTGCTAGTTTAAAAAGGGACTACAGGGAAGGAGTACAGGTGATGATGAGCTGACAGCTCTGGCTGACAGCCATGGAAGTGGGATCTGCTGCCCTACAAACACAGGAACTGATTTCCACACTCAGAAGATGAGTTTGTCTCCAGAAAGTCTACCCAGGTCAGCACCTTGAGTACAGCTGTTGGAGACCTCAAACCTGCCTGGATTCTGACCCACAGAACTGTAAGATAATGGATAGTGTTTTAAGCTGCTAGAGATATAGTGGTTTATTATGTAGGAGAAAATGAATATATTGTTAAAAGGTTGAATTCCAAGAAGTCTTATTTGATTCCCTACATTGTCCCTCTCCCATTTGGTTTTTTGAAACAGAGGATTTGCTCTGGAGCTCAGGCTGGCCTTGAACTCAATCCTCCCACTTGAGCTTCCCCAGATTTCTTAGAAATCAAATTTGTAACATCATATGTTGTGATTTTATGCCTAGTTCATGGTGTATGCCTTGCTTAAACACAAGGTCCTTACTGATAAATCATTATTTCTCGGTTACAGCTAGGATTCTCTGCAAGAGATCTGTCTCTACTGGTAGTAAAAGTTGCAGTGTAGAGCTGGGGGACATGGCTCAAATAGTAGTAGAGTGCCTAGCAAGCCCAAGGCTCTGAGATCAGATCCCTATATCACAAAAAAGAAATAAAGGTCCAACATTTGGGTAGTGTTCTGTGGAAGAACTGCTAGAATAAGATTGTGGGATGTATAGGATATTTTCCAACATGAGGATTTAGACAGGCTGCTTTGGGGGGGCCCATTAGAAGTATAGTAAAGAATGATAAACAGTGCTATTTAAAATCAGACATTAAGAGGAAAAGTAACTTATGCCTTTAGGTAGGTAGGTTATATGAGGATTTAGTTTCCTTTAGTACAGATCAAACCTACTTGTGTCAATCAAATTGTTGATATTTGAGAATGTTTTCCAAAGTACCCCTGCTTCTGTGTCATGCTAATGAAGTTCATTTTTGTTTTGTCTTATCCATTAATCTCTGTGCTTACTTCTGCTATATTGCCAGACTCTTAATGAAAGACAAACCAGAATTAAAGGAAAGATAATGAGGCTAAATACTGTCAAAAGATCACCAATTTATGTAATAACCTTATATCTATGTTATAAAAGATTTTAGATTCCCAATCCAATCTTTTGTAGAGAAGGACTTTTGCCAGGCTATGTAACAATGTTTATGTAAAACTAAAACTTCGATAGTTGTAAAATTTTAAATTATTGATCTTAAAATATATGCTATGATAACTAGTATGCTTTAGTTCTTTAATGCATGTGAATATACAATACTAAAAGACTACAACAGTATTATTATTAAAGGAAGAATTTAAAAAAGCATCCAACTTAAGATTTTGTTACACATGCCCCATGCCATCACGCCATCACAGCATCTCACCTGAAACCTTCCCTTCTCCAGTTGGAATACTAACTTGATGATTGTCAGGGAACAGCAGGGCAGCAGGAGCTGGCTCTCCAGTCTGTGTGAGATTAAGACTGTTCCAGACAGTAACAGAATGTTGAAGGGAAGCAATTGTGCAAAGTATCATCCTCACTGTTAACACTGCAGTAAAAATGTACAGACTAGTGGTGCTAAAACTGTTCTAAAATAAGGATTATTTGGTGTGGGGAATATTTTAATACTTTTGGATATTAGGGAGGCTATTTTGTATCACTTGTTCCTAGCTGTTTCATTGTTTTAGTAATTAGCAAATTGTCCTGGAATCAAAGGTTTGGTGTTTTAGTAGTTAGCAAATTGTCCTGGAATCTAAGGTTTGGTACTTAGCTTGATTGGCATTCCATTATGTGAAATGCTGTTTGCTCAAATTTGGTGACAATAACTTTTAAAGATATGTACATTGAGCCTTAAAAATGGCTGATACCGACAGTACTGTAAGATGCACTGCCAGCAGATTTGATACTTTTCAGTATAGACAGTAATGTTTTCTAAGGAAGATTTAGAAGTCTTCTAAGCTTAATGATTAACTCATGGGATAAAAAAACTAAAAAAAGTGTATTTCATTCAGAACACTTCCTTTGGAAAGGCTGTCTTTGCATTTGAGGATATTTCTGGAAGCACCCTCTGGAGAAGCTGCCTGAGGACTCTCTCTGCTAGGGTTTGCCAGATTTGTTTTTCCTTCTTAAATGTACTGTACATACTTTTCTTAGGATGTCTTCATGGGTTAAACAGTTAACATCCGTAGTAATATTTTAGGTACTTGTTCAACTTTTACAGGAAGATTACTTTCAAGTTTGCTGCTATAATGAAAACGGAATACCTGGTCCTGTTGACTGTGCCTTCCATCACTGTTTCTCTGTGCCACAAATGTTCATGTGTATTTGAATAAAGAAGTTTATAAAGCCACACTGAATGCAAGATTCCTTCTAATAAAATGGGTAAAACAATAAAGTGGTTGTTTTTAAACTTCTGTTTAGCACTGATAAAGTAAGTCTGGAAGGCTTTAAGCAATGTTTGCTTTATTACTTTAGTCTCTTGTGCTCTATTATGTGTTGTCAGAGCCTGTACTATGGTGGTTCTTGTGTGAGTTCTACTTTCATATTACTGAAGGTGAGACTAGGGTTGCATGGCCCGTGTTTAAGGTACATGGGGATAGACTACAGGCATGACTGCCAATAATCCTGGTGACTTGGGGAACAGAGGGAAGAGGATACATGGTTGTCTACTAGGCCACCTCCCACTCCCAGATGAACCTCAGCATTACCTTCCCCACCCCACAAAAATGAGGCAGACTCTGTGCCTGTCAACAGGATTGGGTATGTGTGTGGTATTACTATGTCCAAAAATATTTCATATTAAAAATTTGTATTTTTCCCCATACCCTTATTTTATCTACAGCATATATGTGCAAATAGTACATCAAAAAGTATGCTTTAAAAATATTTATTACAGAAATGTACATTTAATTAGTCTTAAGGAATGTTGACAATAGTGTTAACCTGTCACCTTTACAGCTAAAAGATATCTACAAAGATATTTACAAGCTTTACAAAAACTCACTTCCCCAATACTGCAGACAGTAGTATTGCCACTTCTTCACTTCACTCTGTACTTGTAGAAAGAACACAGAGCATGGGTAAAGTTCCATCCTAGGGCCAGCGACAGCCCATATAGTAGAATGAGAGGTGCAAACGGGTAGAGAAGAATTACTGTGTTTTTCAAAAATGGCAGTGCTAAAAAAGAAAAATCCAAATTGACTTTTTAAACAAGGAAACATGAACATTCTGAAGTGGTATCCAAAATGAAGGCATCTTTTGACAAATTTACTTTTCTGCTGTTTTCTTCTCACTTAGGACTGAGGACAAACTGTTTCAATGCACAAGGCTGAATGTGAAGCAAATCAGGACAGAGAGGGACCAAGGTCACAACTCTTAATTGGCAGTGATTGCCTATCTTTGACAGCTCTGTTTGAAGAAGTGAGGAAAAAGAGCCATTTGCAATTTCTCAGTATGACAAGTATCAAAGCTCCACACTCGACTAATATTCTACGCTTTAGGAAAGAACTAAAGCTTCAAAATATAAACAACCATGTTGCCTATTCATTGCTTAGTGAGTGGGACCCTGCCCCACATTCTGACTGAAAATATATGGGCTGCTCTTAACTGCAGACTAAACAGCACACTGTTCTACAGGCAGAAGCATCAAAAGTTCACTTAGAGGGCTAGGAAGGTGGCTCAGTGGTAGAGTGCTTGCCTGGCATGCATGAGGCCCTGGGTTCAATTCCTCAGCACCACATAAGCAGAAAAAGCTGGAAGTGGCGCTGTGGTTCAAGTGGTAGAGTGGTAGCCTTTAGCTAAATGGCTGAGGGACAGCGCCCAGGCCCAGAGTTCAAGCCCCACGACTGGCAAAAAAAAAAAAAAAAGTTCACTTCGAGAACCTAGTGCTTCCTTAAACAACAAAATGCTTTCTCAAAAATACGTGAGGTCATTAGAAATGTGAATATAAGATCCCAGACCTCCCCTCTGGACTAGAGAAATGACCCCAAACAAGGTGGTACAGTGAGACTACTCCCCAAGTACCTGGGATCCCAGGCATGCATTTCTTAAGTGAGTAACGTAAGACTTTCTCATTCATGTTAAGAAAAACAAACTGACAAGACTGAAGAATAAATACAGGAAGACAGTTGTGGTTCATGGGAAATAACACCAGCCCTGAGCCAAAAAGAGTAAATACAACTGGGCAAGGCAGCTCATACCTATAGTAGTAGCTACTTGAGAGGTTGAGATTGGGGATCAAGGTTCAAGGCCAACATGAGACTAAGATCAAAAGGCCATATCAACCAATGGTTGCGCATATCCTGTTATCCTAACCACAGGGGAAGTACAGGTAGGAGGATCACAACCCAGGCTGATCCAGGCATAAGAGGAGGACCCTACCTTGAACCCCTTAAGCAAAAAGGGGCTAGAGGAATCAGTTCAAGTGTCAGAACCTGCCTTGCAAGCATGAGGCCAGGCTATTCAATCACCAGTGCTGCCCTCTACCCCACAAAAGTAAATGGAAATATGTTCTGAGATTAGGAAAAGTTGGACCTGATCTTTTGTGATCTTCAGTGATCACAAAATGAAATGAAGCAAAAGTATTTCAGTGCATATAAAGTGGGCCTATACTTTTCCCTCACCCCAGTTTATTGTTAATAACTTGGAACCTGAACCTTGGAGAAAAGAAAAACATTGTCCTGGCCTTCTGCCAACACCCTGGAAATACCACGATGTGTCACAGGCAAGTTAGTCTCTCTGCTTAAGTTTCCTTATTTTTCAAAGGAGGAAGACATGAGATAATTCGTGTAAAATTCTTGAACAGGGCCTAAAGCTTTTCCACTCTGTTAAGTTCTCAATCAACCAAAACATCTTTTAAAACTACTTACCACTGTATCCTAGGAAGGTTACGTAGATATAATAGCCAACTGCAATCAACCATAAAGTATTTCCAACTAAATATCCAATAAATGTATCTGTTAGGATAACATCTGCCAGGAGAAATGCACACCGTGAGTCTGATGTACATAATGAAGACTTTGATAATATTTGAGAAACTACTACTTACGGTTGATGAAAAACAACTGGATAAAATGCAAGATCACTAGGAGTGGATAAAAAGCATTCAGATGCACGTCAAAGGCATAGCCCCACTCTACATCATAATCTCTGCTCTGCCGTTTCACTAAATACTTGTTGGAGATGAACCTGAAAAGCAATATTACAATTTCTTGCATTATACAATAAAATTAGTTCTGTTAATACTTACTACCTCCTATATGCCAGACATTATACTGAACTCTGGAGCTACAAACCAAAATCCCTTTCAATCTGGTGGGAGAAGACTAACATTAATATAAATAAACATATGAGCCAGGTGCCGGTGGCTCATGCCTGTAATCCTAGCTACTCAGGAGGCTGAGATCTGAGGATCGTGGTTCAAAGCCAGCCCAGGCAAAAAGTCCATGAGACTCTTATCTCCAATAAAACCACCAGAAAACCGGAAGTGGCGCTGTAGCTCAAGTGGTAGAGCGCTCACCTCGAGCTGAAGAGCTGAGGGACAGTGCTCAGGCCCAGAGTTCAAGCCCCACGGCGGACAAATAAAAATAAAAAATAAACATATGTCAGACAGTAGCATAGACAAAACTACAGCAAAGCTGAGATGCATTAAATAGGATGGTTAAACAGTGATGTTCAGGTAAAATAGCTAAGGACAGTGAGGACTGGGTAAAAAGACCCAGTGTGCCTCTAAGAAGTGATGTCAGAAAAGAGCCAAAGAGCCACATTGTATGGTGCCTTTGATTTCTGGAGCTGCAAAAAAGTATCTGAAATTTTTGAGGGGCTCCTTGGTGGCCAATCTGAGAATAGATCCTAGGGACGAGTCGGAGTGGAAACAGAAAGCTACACTGCATAGAAAGCAAGCAGCAGCCTGTAACTATAGGCAGCTGGCAGCGAGGTGAAGTATGACACATTATAGAGCTGAAGGATTAAGTACTGGATGTGAGGAATGAACAAGAGCAGTCAAAGGTGACAAAGTTTTGCCTTGGAACAAATGGAAGAGGGAACAAGTCGATTTTTGTTCAATTATGTTAAACATGCTTATTCATACAAAGAAGTGTAAAGTCTGCAGTTTAAAGGAGAGACCCAAATGGCAGATATAAACTCATCAATGTGTATATATTTAAAGCTATGGACTGGAATGACATCACCAAAAGAATAAAAAGACAGTAAGTAGATCCAAGACCTAAGACCTAAGATCTATGCTAACTCCCTATTAAAGATGAAGAAAACAGAAACAGAAAGCAAAGAGGGACTAATGACATACTAGCCATAAGAAGTTATTCAAGCTTATGTCACTTTCTACCTATTAAATGAAGAGTGAAAGAAAGTATAACACACCAACATACAAAACAACAACATGCCAAAGAAAAAGAACATCACTTGGTATTGCACGTCTATAATATCAGCATCCAGTTCAAGGCCAGCCTGGGCTATATAACAAAACCCTGTCTCTTAAAAAAAAAACCAAAAAAACAAAAAACAACCCACAAAAGATCATTTTTACTATAAATATATCTGTTGAAACTCAATGTACCTTTTTATGTCATTGCATTTCAATTCAAGGATACAATTAAGAAAATGCTCTTCCTACAATGGAAATAAAGATAGACAATAAAGAAATAGGGAAAACATGGTATAGAATCCTAAACAGTCCTGGACTTAGTTATCTAGCAATGTTAAAATAATACTGCTTCACTGGAACTTCCCAAAACATTGTTTTAGCCAAGAACATGTGCCATAAAAGTTTACAAAATGAAATAAGCTACACACAGAAAGACAAACACCACATGTTTCCCATTCACGTGTAAGATAAAGTTCACCCATAATAATGTGGGATAATGCATTGCCACTAGAGATTGGGGAGGTGGGGGTGATGAAGGGCAATTAGGTCACAGTTATCAGAATAGACAGAAGTTAGTTCTAGTGTCCCACAGTACAGTAGAGGTTGACTATAATTCAAAACAATTCATTATACATTTTATTAAGAACCATAAGTTCAATATTTCCAACACTAAAACATTACTTTTGAGATGGAAATGCTAATCACCTTGATTTGATCCTTATACTGTGTTATCACCCAGAACTCCACACATACGTACAATTAATACAAACTTTGAGTAAGAATATAATTTTATGGAATTACATGTAACTTACCAGGAAATCCAGCTGCTGCTTTTGTCCCTCTGCTCATCCCTTAAGTGGAACACAGACATTCCTTCAGAGAAATGCCAGCTGCCTACTTCTCCCACCGCCATGTAAGTAACACCACTCATGCTCAGGATCCTAGGCCAGACTGCTGCATCCAGGCTTCAAACCCTCTACCAAAAATACTCAGCTCCTAGCCGGACGCTGGTGGCTCACGCCTGTAATCCTAGCTACTCAGGAGGCTGAGATCTGAGGATCGTGGTTCAAAGCCAGCCCCGGCAGGAGAGACCGTGAGACTCCTATCTCCAATAAACCACCAGAAAACCGGAAGTGGCGCTGTAGCTCAAGTGGTAGAGCGCTCACCTTGAGCTGAAGAGCTGAGGGACAGCGCCCAGGCCCAGAGTTCAAGCCCCACGACCAGCAGAAAAAAAAAAAAAATACTCAGCTCCCTGAACTCAGCACAGCCACCACAAAAGCTTCATTTACACCTGCCTCTTAGTCACCTATGCCCAAAGCTTTCAGACCATCCCAAGGAGGCCTCCGGCAGCTGCTGCCTCTTCCCAATTCCTTACTACATCATGGTATAGCAAGTTCTTAACTCCATCTCTATTACCACCGCATTGCTCTGGAGGTCTTTTGCCAGGAGCCCCTGGCAAAGGTATATGGCCTGCTCACTTCTCTAACTTCTCTTTCACAGTCATGGGGAAGATTCTTTCCTAAAGTGTGAATTGAATGTTTCTTTCAAAACCATCAAACTATCTATCTCTTCTACCTTCAGCCACATGCAATTCTACATTTCACCAAGACACCTCATACTAGTTCCTGTGGCACTTCTGGTATGTTATCATTTCCATTTCTAATTTCTCACATGGTTTACAACACAAACTTCCAAAAATGGTATAAAGTTCTTTTCTGTTGAACTCAAACTGACACTAACTGTGCTAAACTCTACAATGACTTGTGTTTGGTCTCTTTTGCTCCATCGCTACATTTATGGCTTGCTATAACTTATTCCCTTGAAAGTCATTATTTACTGATTTCTTTTCATGAGTAGCTTGATAATGCATGTGCGGAGTTACATTAGTTAGCTGTACTAATTTTACAATTTTAGATTACGGGTGTATAGTATTTGTTACCTACCTAGTACAAACTAAACCTGTGCCTTTTTTAGTCAGATGTTACAAAGGAATAAAAGGTTGATATAACAGAGATTAAAGTCTTGGGGTTTTGGTTAAAATGTTAAGAGCTATTATTCTACATATCACAATGATCTCAAAAGTTGACAAAATAACTCCATTTCATGGAAGACATTAAGAGTCAAGCAATGACTATACAAACACAGGTCTCTGGGACTGCAGTGTTCTACTGAGTTTCTTTTGAGATACAATGACCACCTCCGTCCCTCAGCCACTGGTGACTCTCTACTGAGATCACCTGCCTCTCTATCCAGCAGGCCAATGACCGAGGAATTTGGTCTATGAGAGAGATGAAAAGCCAAACACTAGAAGGCACTTTTTTTTGGGGGGGGGGAGGGGAAGAAGAGGGGTTGTCATGGGGCTTGAACTCCAGGCCCAGACCTTGTCCCTCAGCTCTTCAGCTCAAAGTGAGGGCTCTACCACTTGAGCCACAGCACCACTTCTGGTTTCCTAGTGGTTTATTGGAGATGAGTCTCATGGATTTTCCTGCCTGGACTGGCTTTGAACCACAATCCTCTGATCTCAGCCTCCAGAGTAGCTAGGATTACAGGTGTGAGCCACCGGCGCCTGGCTAAGGCACCACATTTGAAGTAATGATGAGTCCTTTTTTAAAGTGTGCTTGTCTGAATGTAAAAGGTTCAAAGTAGAGTTCCCTGAAATAACCCTCTAGATGTAAAAAATCTAAACTGTATGGAACACACATACACCTAGAAATGCTTCCTCACATACAGACAACTTTATCAGAATTAATAAATGTGTGATTTTCTGTAAATTAGGGATTTTTGTTAACATGCCATAATCATTTCATTGATTTTTCCTACTGTGGCAATATAGAGCATCCCTTAAATATTATTTTCAGATACAGGTACTGACACACATAATGATGGTTACAATAATCTTGGCAGCCAACCATGATGGCTTCAGTTAATTGACTTTGGTTTCAATCAACTACTGTACTTTAAAAAAAAAAAAAAAAAAAATGGAGGCACTACAATATCTGAAAATCCACGTTACAGTACTTACCACATTAAAGTTGATATCAGAAGGCCAACGCCTACACAATCTATGAATACCACCCATAGAAGAAGCTTTATTGTCTCAAAAAATCCCATGTCCAACACGAAGCCAAATCCTATAGTGGACACTGAAAGAAAAATTTACAAGGTTTATAACAAGAGTCACTGGAGGGGCTCTAATAGGTTGTAGGGGTACAGGACACATTTCCTGACCACCAGAAGCCCATAGTACAGTAGGGACCTTTCACTAATGGTTAGGGTGCTTTTTAACTTCCTTGTATTACCTCATCATGATGGTAACCAGGTGTATAAAAAAAAAAAAAGAGCCTACCCCTTAGCAACAAGGAGAAGAAAAAATATCACCTCTGAGGTTAGAATAAAAAATGAGCAGACCACCCTCCCCAGTATGATTGCCTAGCTATGAAGAGAATAATGGCAGGACACATTTCTGAAAAGGCAGGACATACCTCTGTACATCAGTAAAATACCTTGATTAAATCTCCTAAATCTCTGTATGTCTATTCATTTTCTGACACCAGAAGGCTGTGTGTTTCCAACAATAGAGCCTTGGGTTCTATCCCAGAATAGTAAACTAACAAAACAAGAAACAGACTGAATTCTGTTCTCTGCCTTGCTAAGGCTTTAAATAGTGGCTTACTTCTCTTGGGATGCGTAGAACCAAGAAGGCAACTTACTTTTCTGTGAGATTCTTCAGAAAAAAAATAAACAAAAAAAGCCCACACAGATTCAAATATCCCCAAATTCTAACTCACAAGATAATATAATGGAAGATAATCCAAATGACAAGCCTAATCTGAAACACTCAATTTGTTCAACACCATGGCAAATAAACAGGCACTTACCACATAGCCAGACACTTAATAAGACCAAGAAAGCAGGGTCATCTCTGGCCCACTGGTCCTTTGTCTGTTTCCGGTAATGAAAGTTCCTGTAAACCCTCTGTGGAGAAGTGAACAGGTAGAGCATTTGCCAGGCAGCAAACTCAAAATCCATCTGCCGAAAACGAAAAAGCCTTCTGAGGTATTTGTAGCGTTTGGCTCCAGCTGTGTGTCTTGCTGCATCTCTGGAATTCAAGACTCCATTCCCCTGCACTGAGGAATTCACTGAAGTACTTGGTAGCATCTTTCTACAAGGAAGAAAAAGATATTTTTTTTTCATGCAATCTGAAGAAACATTTGGCAACTAGCATGCCTCTTCTGAGTTGCTTAGCTGGAAACTTATTTTACACTTTCTCCTTCACCCCTCAGAAGAGCCAGGGGCCAAAGCAATGAAGCTGGTTCTGAGGCTTGTCTTGGGATTGGAGGACTGCTGGATTGCATTCCATAAGGGCAGCACCACGCCCTTCAGAACTATCTAATAACACTTAATCCAGGGCCCATGTTTCCAAGCTTGACCTCACTCAATCTTCACACACTCCTCCCAGATAGATGCAGTCCGTGGAAGGTGAGGAAAGGGGCACCGGTAGGTGAAGACAACGGTGAAGAATGGAACTCTGGCCAAAATTCCGTGTGGTTAACGACCAAGCCTTTGAGGCACAACTTAAGGCTGACTAGAAAGCAAGATTGATGAAATGGTGAAATCGCTTATTCACCCAAGTCCGTCCACGATGGCCGGCAAGCTGACCAGACGTGATCCAGCAGTTCCTCAAAATGTAATGCAGCTGGGGATGGGGATTCAGAATCTGAGGCCGAAGAATAATTTTTTTTTTTTAAAAAATGTAACAACAAAACTCCAATCAATCCCTGGTTTTTAACACAAAGAACAGTTAAAGGAGGAGCGACCCAGTGGGAAGCCAGTCCACACGAGTCCTGGGCTGGGGCAGCCGCGGTCACCGCCGCCGGCCAGCAGCGCCCCGCCCAGCGGCTCGCCATCGGGCCGGGGCCGCGGAATCGCCGCCGCGGGTGACGGCTGAAAACACAAAGCGGGAAGAAGCCACGAGCAGGCTCTGGCCTGTGCACGCGCGCGTGTGTATGACGGACGTGTGTGTGTGCACGGATCGGTGGTGGGTGTGAGTGTGAGCGCGCGCCGTCCAGCAGCAAGGACACGCTGAAACCAAACCTGTCCCTGCACCGGCGGTCCCGGACCCCGGGCGCCCCGGCCGGGTCTCCCCGACGCCCGGGCCACCAGCAGCCGGAAAAACAGCCCCGGAGACAGCACGGGCTGCTGCCGGACAGAGCACTCCTCGGGCCTTACCTGACCCTGTGGTCGCGTCGACCTGGGTCCGGAAAGCCCGCCAACTCCGCCACAAGCCGAGCCCACCCAGGGCCGGGGCCCACTTCCCTCCCCGCGACGCTCCCGGCGCTCCGGCGCCCCGCCTTTACGTCACCGGCGCCCACTTCCGCCGCGCATGCGCCGACTCCTGGGGACGCGCAACTCTTCCGCCCTGACCTCCGCTTACCTACCGGAAACTGGCGGTGACCCCTCCTGGTTCCCTCCGGGTTCCCTCCTCTGTGGGCGTCGCGTGTGTCCCGGGGGGGGGGGCTGTAGTCGCCGAGGACGTCGAGGGTCAGGCCTGCAGCTGGCCGGGGGCGCGGTGATGCCCCGGTATTACGAAGACAAGCCGGAGGGCGGCGCGTGCGCGGGCGTGAAGGAGGACCTGGGGGCCTGTCTGCTGCGGTCGGACTGTGTGCTCCAGGTAGTGCGGCGGACGCTCCCGGCCCACCCTGCCTGCCGCCCCGCGCGGCCCACCCGCCCAGGGGGGAGATAACCTCCACACCCGCTCCGTCGGGCTTGGCAAAGGCTCGCGTCGCCTCGGGAGGCGTTTCTGGACCCTAGAGGAGGAGGGTGGGGTTCTCTGGGGCTAGGAAGTGAACATCCCGTGGCATGAATGAATATGCGGTACCTCGTACACCTGTCCCACGGGCAAGCAGGGTTGTTGGTGGTGCCTGGATGGGGTACCACGATGTGTTTTTGGCTCGTTCGAATTTGTCTCTGAGGTGAAGGGCTCTACATTTCGGGATGTAGAGCACACTCCCACCCTTAATTCTTCGCTCACTGCAGCCTCCTCAGCATCTTAGAATGAAATTTAGTTGGCCCAGATTCTGATTTACAACCTAAGTAAAGCACTGAAGCCCTTTCTAATTTGAGACCCATCGGGAGGTCAGCGATGATTTTTGCATCTGCAACTGCCCTTTCAGAAAGCTGCTCTCATTTCAAAGAACTGTCAGCAGCACCAAAATGAACATCCACCCTGTCTGTGTCAGTGTTTCTGTTGGTCCCGATTTACATTTGAGTCGCTAATTTTAGCAGTCGGCCACACTTGATTCCCAATGTCTTCATAAGGCTCCATAGAATATCCGGTTAACCCTGGGTGATCACGAGAGTCTAGGGAAGAGCAGATTCAAGAGACCTCTCGGGACTTGATACAGGGTTTTATGACTTCTGGGAGATCAAAAGATTGGAACGGCCACAGGAAGCTCACCACAGGACTCCTATTTGTGTCTCCATTAACAGCTTCCAGACCTGCTGACTTGTCTTCAAAAATCATCTGGCAGTGGAGACAGGAGAGCTTTAAAGCAAATTCCACTGTTATTCCCACCGTGTCTCTCAAGTCAGTTTTTAGACATAACCAGGTTTTGACCTCAGAAGGCAAAGTTGTTATAATTAGCATCCTAATTATAACTTCAAGTATATGATACAGACACCCAGATAAAGTAGTTATTTCTTTTAAGCGAGGCATGGTGGCACAGGCCTATAATCCCAACACTCAGGAGGCCGAGGCCAGTTAATTGTGAGTTCAGGCTACATAGTGAGATTCTACCCCCAAATAAGCAAATAAAAATTCTCACTTTCACATATAAATAGGGCCCAGGAGTTTCCTTCAGTCTTCCAGGGATTCAGACTGTTGATTTTGTGACTGCAAGTTGTGAGGTAGGTTGTAAGGATTGTTTCATTGGTCCAAGTGCCAAGCCTCCATATCAGACTCCCTAACCTTATGGAGTATAGTGGAAGGAAAGGGCAAGCCTCTTTCCTTTAAGGACTGACCCAGAAGTTTTGCATCTTTTACCTACACATTATTATTACCTAGAACGTAGTCACATGACAATATCCTGTTGTAAGGCAGCCCAGCCACATGCTTGATAAAAAGGATATTAAGGAACAACTAGCAACCTATCACTGGGGGGTAGGAGGTAAGCATCAATCTTTTTCTCTTGACTTGACTATCTAGATGGATCTTTTCACCTGGTAGTAAACGTTAAAATGTAGTGGCTAAGATAGTGTTTGGGGAGGCATCAGCTTACAAATCATACAGTCTTCTACATAGGTTAGTTTTTTTTTTTTTTGTCTGACTTCACATTGTTCATGTGGGCAACAACCCCCATCAGCAGTTACAGAGCTGGAACTTAGTGCAAGGAAGCTTGCTACTAGGATAGTGAGAGAATCACTATTTCAAGTTGACACTTGAAATCTAGGTCCCAAGCATACAGACTAGGAAGTGGCAATGTTCCCAGTAACAGAAATATCAAAGACATGGTGCCCTGTAGCTTTTTTCAAGTTGAAAGAATGGCTATTTCTAGCAAAATAAGGGTGTAGGGAGTAGTTGGGCTGGTAGGACTGGTGAGTCAAAATTTGCTTGATGATTTGCCTGGCATCGGTGGCTCATGCCTGTAATCCTAGCTACTCAGGAGGCTGAGCTCTGAGGATTGCGGTTCAAAGCCAGCCCAGGCAGAAAAGTGCGTGAGACTCTTATCTCCAATTAACCACCAGAAAACTGTTAATTGGCACTATGGCTGAAGTGGTAGAGCTCTTGCCTTGAGCTGAAGAGTTCAGGAACAGCACTCAAGCCCCACAACCGACAAAAAAAAAAAAAAAATTGCTAGATGAGACAATCCTGACTCTGAATTTCAGCCTGACAATTTGACTTACATTTTCCTGAAAATAATTTTCTAACCTACTTCATTAAAACCTAGGAAATGATCATTAGCAGCATTAAAAATGTTGTGATTCTAGGGTTTCTGGCTCAGTTTTCACCCATAAGAAGAAACAAGTTTCTAGATTTTAATATAAGCATAATAAAAATTTTCACATGGAGACTAGTGTTTTCCAAAGTTCACAGACTTCCTTAAAGTGCCTAAGGTCAAAAGTTTTTTATTCTATCCTTTTTTAAGTACCAGCAGTCAAAATGAATTAAGATTTCTTACATAATTGTCTTCCTCTTTTAATATTTTATTTAAAAAAAAGCTTTTCAGGACGGTTGTTTTGTGCTCTGTGCAGAGCTGTCCCTTATGTTTATGTTGTTCTGTGTGTCGCAGGAAGGAAAATCCCCTCGGCAGTGTCTGAAGGAAGGATACTGCAGAGCTTTGCAGTATTCATTTTTTGAGTGTAAAAGATCAATGGTAAGTGATTAAAGGGTTTTGCAAACATGTTAAAAATTAGCTACGTGGAATTACATGTGAGCAATTTAATAGTCATAAGTAATGATAGTGTTTGGGGGAAAAAATGATGTGGATATTATTTCTTATTGCACTGAATTAAATGTGAAACGGCATTCATAAAAGCTCCTAACTTGTAATCTCTCACCTTGCTAACCACAGCTGCGAACCTTCAAGGGTTTCTTAAAAGTACAAGAAAACAGAAAGGTATAGAAGCAGGTGGTTACTGTCAATTCAGATCATGTATCAGTTATACATAAACTTACAATGTCAAGGTGTGAGGTCACATACTCTTCCTTCTGCTTTATGTGACCAGAGAGAAATGTCAGTATCTTGGCTTTAATTTTAAATTTGATGGATTGTGGAAGATATCACTAATCTGGAGCTCTATTACATTCTTTGATTTGAAAGACGTACAATGATCTTTGGAATGGAAAATAAGAGGCTTTTCTTGAAGAAAGAAAAATATGAAGTCAGAAGTGTGAGCACCCTCTAAAGAAAAAAAAAAAACTTGGCCCAAAGTCTACATTTAGAAACCATATGGTAAAGCCTTTCCTTTTGTTCACAGAGGACAAAGATTACAGGTATTTATGAGCCTGGAGGCCAAACAAAGAACATGAGGATGTCAGCTGATCATCTAGCAAAGATATACTTAATTTTGGCCATGCTGTGTTTTTTGCCAAGTGGCAGTTCTCTAATGTATTTTCCTGTTATTTAAGGTATAGAAAAGAATATTCTTGCCGTCCTTCACTAGTTTTGTTACTCACATAAATGCAAGCCTAAACTTATTTCTTCAGTTTACCTTTTAAGAAATTTTTAACAATTGAATAACCTGTGCCAGTGCTTCTGGCAAACATCACTTTGCCCTCTGACATCAGAAGAGCAACCTGGGGAACTGGGTGGCCTGTGCGCAGATTTTCACATGCTTCCTACTAGACTGATTCACTCCTTGTTTCCTCCCTCCCCCCCAAATGAATGGAGTGTTGCCACACTTAATGCTGGCAACTTACAGGCTTGGTAAAATTGAAACATTTAAATCTTGTAGGTACTTTTGCCTACTGTTTTAGAGATTAAATCCTGTTCAGAGTACATGAGGATTCAAATATGTTGTTAGTCTGTCGTGGGGCTCGAATCTAGGCCTGGGCACTGTCCCTGAGCTCTTCAGCTCAAGATGAGTGCTCTATCACTTGAGCCACAGTGCCACTTCTGGTTTTCTGGTGATTAATTGTGGATAAGAGTCTCATGGGGATTTTTTTTCTGCCTGGCTGGCTTTGAACTGCAATCTTCAGATCTCAGCCTCCTGAGTAGCTAGGATTATTTATGGTCACTCTTATGTTCCATTGTTTTCTGAAAATATGGGTTTTTTTTTAAATTTTATTTTATTTGTGAACATACTGTACAGAGGGGTTACAATTACATGGGCAGGATAATGCATACATTTCTTACCAAGCATTGCAGCCTCCTCCTTTGTTTACCCTTCACCTCCCTTCCCAGCTTCCCCCCTCCCCCCCCCCAACCCTACCCCCCCTCCCCCCCACCGACATTGTAAAGCTCCTTTTTGACATGACAATTTGTACTTCTCATTGTTGCAACAGGTCCACCTGAATCCTTAAATGACTTGTTTTTCCCCATCTCCTCCAAAAGTTATACTGACATCAAATATATTGAAAGCGGGGGTTATACTGTGCGGGAGGGACATACAAAGCAACAAAGAAATAAAGTTATAAATGCGTTAGAAACACATGCATGAAAGAAAAAAAAACATTAAAATACCTATCTAAGGATTCATTTTCCTAACATCACATTATCTGACTTTTTCTGCTTGACTCATACATATACTAGATATTGCAAATAAGGGAAACCATGGGACCTGTGTTTCTTTGTGCCTGGCTTACTTCACTTAACAGATGCTGGAGGGGATGTGGACAGAAGGGAACCTTACTCCATTGTTAGTGGGAATGTAAACTTGTTCAACCACTTTGGAAAGAAGTATGGAGGTTCCTCAAAAGACTTCACATAGAGCTCCCCTATGACCCAGCAATCCCACTTTTGGGCATTTACCCAAATGTTTACAAACAAGACCACACTAAAGCTACCAGCACAACTATGTTTATTGCAGCATTATTTACCATAGCTAAGATATGGAACCAACCCAGATGCCCCTCAGTAGATGAATGGATCAAGAAAATGTGGTATATATACACAATGGAATTCTATGCCTCCATCAGAAAGAATGACATTGCCCCATTTGTTAGGAAATGGAAAATATGGTTCTTGTACTCAGACCACTAATGTCTGCTCCACACTGGTTGCATTGACTCTTTGATAGAGCTAAAAAAATTTCTATGGCATTTGTGGGCAGCAGTACTGTCTAGACAAGTCTGTCTTAGACTGCTTTTAGAACCTTCCACTCTGCCTACCACCCTTCAGAAATGGGTGCATTGTGAGGCTGAAGTCAGTCACTGTCAGCGCAGGAGGAAACTCACAGTGAAGATTTTAGATCCCAAGATGACTGTGTAAACTCAATTTTTTCAGGGTTCTTTCCTCTTTTCTCGGTTTTTTATTTAAAGATGTAAAATGCATTTGCATACTAACCTGAACAAACTGGGAAAAGATAAGTGTAATTTGAATTCTCCTTGGGATGTTCTACTAACCATTAAGTGATTCTTAACATTTTTTTAGGGGGGGGAGGAAGGGTCCGGTCGTGGGGCCTGAACTCTGAGCCTGGGCGCTGTCCCTCAGCTCTTCAGCTCAAGGCTAGCGCTCTACCACTTGAGCCACAGCGCCACTTCCGGCTTTTTTCTTTTTGCTTATGTGGTGCTGAGGAATCGAACCCAGGGCCTCTGGCATGCAAGGCAAGCGCTCTACCACTGAGCCACCTTCCCAGCCCCAATCTTAACATTTTTAATGAAACTTTATTATTGTATTTTTCCTTAGTAGTTCTGACAGATTGCCTTTGTTGTTGTTTTTGCTGTTTTGAGACAAGATCTCACCATATGCCATACTGGTCTCAAACTCACAATGCTTGTACCTTTTACCCAGGGCTAGATTTCAGGTACCACCATGCCCAGGTACCTTTTTAATTTTGTGGAAAATAGTGTGCTTTTCTCATGTAGTGACTTAACAACTCATTACCAAAGGTGTACCTTATTGTATCAAATTTACTTTTGTAATTGTACACTTTATTTTCAGTTGGATGCCAGAGCAAGATTCAGAGGAAGAAAAGGATATTAATACCACCATGCTAAAAGCAAGAATAAGAGAATATTTTCTTTGGTCATTAACATAGAAGAAGCCGAAATGGGAAACATGATGTGTGCTACAGCGATTTGGTGGGACCAGTCATTCCCTCCACGGAACACTGGGAAAAATGGATGAACACTTGTTTTTATGTTTTGAGTAAATGATTCTCATGGTTGAAATTATTTTTAGAAGATAATTTTCATTGAACAATTATGGACTAGAAATAATGTATTTTTGAGAGTTGTCCTAAAGTACAAAGAATGGAAAGATGGTTATTTTCAAACCTAATTCTTCATACTAACTTGAAGATCTAGAAGGCTCCTGATGTGATTGACACCATTGATATCTCAGAGCTTATGTAGATAGTGTTTTGGGGGAAAGTTCAGGATAAAAGTTTTTCTTTTATTCAGTTGGCTCTATTTAGTTCTAAAGTAATTGTGATTACTTGGGGAAGAAGGGCTTCAGGTGCACTGATTGAAGTAACAAACTGTACAACTCTCTAAAGGCACAGCAGGATGCAGAACCAGGGTTCTTCACTTCTACTTCTTGACTCTTTCTGCTGCTTCCTAGTTTCATTTTTAGTCTTACCCTCTTCAGTGGTCCAGTATCAAGCGTAAGTCCACATCCTTAAGAACTATGACCCAAAAAGGGAACTTCCCTTCCCAGAGTCCACAAATCAAAGTTACTACTACTGGTCTTCCCTGGATCACTGGGCCTTGCATCTCACTCTTGTGATCTTAGCCAGGCTAAGGATCTCCCATCAGAAATCACGTTAGGTGAGTAATGGGACTCATCCTTTGAGGAAAGGGATTAGGAGAATATTGAAACATTTGCCATGACATGGCAGCAAGTGTAAAGACATGAAGTGGTTGAGAATGCTTAGAATTATAGTAATGTTATTCTGATCACTTAGCAGATAGCCAGGTAAAAATCCAAACTTCTAACTTGATGTTTGGAATTGAAGAACAATTCTAAAGGAACATAGCTTTTTACTTCCACAGTTTATTGGAGATAAAACAGTCAAGATATTATGTAACTCACTTGCTGTTCTAGAAGTTCATCTAAAATTAGGATTCCTGAGTATCAGTGAGTCTGCTGTGTATACTGCTTTCTACCTTTCCACCATGAGAAAATTGATTTTTTTCAATACTGTTGTATACCTATTTAAGGGCTACAACGTGTGTGCGTGCGTGCGTGCGTGCGTGTGTATGTGTGTGTGCGTGTTGCTGGGAAGGAGCTCAGAGCCTTGTGCTTGATAGGCAAGTGTGCTACCATTTACAGTACCCAATTCCAAGTGCTACAGATTTCATTAAAGGTAATTTTGACAAGAAACTGTCTAAAATGCATTTTTACAAGATCCCATTGCTTTTGTTTAGTAACATTTATTGGGAGCTTTAGTTGAAAATTCACGCCACAAAATTCACTATTAAAACATGATTCATTATATTTAGTGTATCCACAATGTCGTCATCACCATCAATTCTAAAATATATGTGCCACTCCAAGAACTAATGTCTATTAACACTCATTCCTCATTCTCCCTTTTATCTCTAGGTCTATTTTTGATCTATTAGAAAAATCAAATTAAATTATAGCCTCTTGTGACTGGTTCCTCTTACCTTAAGGTTTCACTTACCTTCAAGATTTATCAATATATAGCATCTCCCTGTACTTCATCCCTGTTGAGAGATAGCATTCTGTAGTTATAGACATGCTACCGTTCATCCAAAACTCTTGAGTTGTTTTCACTTTAGGCCTATTATGACTAATACTGTAAGTCTTGAACAAATTGGACATTGCAAATTTCACTGAAGTGTCATGAACATTCTCAGTGGCTACACCAAGGTTTTATGCTCTCATCAATATGTGAGGATTCTTGGATCTTAATATCCTCACCAACAGATTACATTTGCCTGGCTATCAAGTGGTATCTAACTTGCATTCCATAAGGTCTGTTCCATCTATGACTGGTCATTTGTATGTCACCTTTAAACAAAGATGTCTATTTAGCTGTTTAGCACAGTTTTCAATTAGAGTAGCATCTTTTTATAGTTGACTTGTAAGAGTTCTTGATACGTTGTAGATACAAGTGCTTTAAAGATAATAAGCAGATGTACTTTTTCCAATTTGATTTATTTCCTTGTTGATTTTTGAAGCAGAATTTTAATTTTGGTGTATTAGTTTTTCCTTGTGTATCTAAGAAATCATTCTTAATCGTAGATTACAGAAAATTATTCATTTATGCATTTTATAACTTCACATCTTCCATTTGGGTCTGATTCATTTTTTTTTAATTTCACATACCTTTATTAGTAGCCATAACTGTTTCTTGATATGGAGAATTAAACAGAGAACCTTGTTCGTGCTCAACAAGTGTATATTTTGGTAGTGTTAAGGGTCTTGACATTTTTAACCCAACCCAGAAGCAGTCGCTCATCTTGCAAAACTATTCACTAAGTAACTCTCCCAGCCATCCCCATTGCATCCCTCCCAATCCTTAGCAACAATTGTACTTTCTCTGAATTTTTAGTACTGAATGCTTCATATGAGTGGAATATGTCTCTTATTAAGTGGCTGGTTTCACTTAGTAATAGTTCTTAAGGTTGAGTAATATTGTATCATAATTACCTTTTTTGGCAGTATTGAAGTTTTTAATTCAAAGTCTTTTCCTTTTAATGCAAATCAAAATTGAGATTTTTAAGAGAATAACCAATGGTAAAATAGGAAAAAGTGACTGCTGTTAGAAATATAAATTAGTGCAGCCACTATGGAAATCAGTATGGAGGTTCCTCAAAACTATCAGATGATCCTGCTATACCATTCAGGCATATACCCAGTGGAATGTAAGGCAACTTAAAATAGACATTTGCCTATTCCTTTCTTTGATCTGATGAGTCTGGTTCCTGATTCATCTAGAATAACTGATTATGTTGAGATCTGAAAAGCAATATGGTTTAGTGCTGAAATTGGAAGGATTTTAATTATATACCACAAAACATCATTCATTTGTTATCTCATTAAATGTTTTGACTAGCAACTTTATAGTATTACACTTGCTCTTGTGAATACAAAGATAAATGGCCAGAGGGAGAGGCTACACACAGTATCATAGTCATATTTAAAACTGAATGAAAGGATAAAAAGTTAAAGGGACAACTCATTCTGTGTGGGAGAGAAGTCACCAAGTAAGGACCTGCTAGGGTGGGGCTTTAAAGGAGAAATAAGGAGGCTGAGGAATGCTCCACACTAAAGGGACATGGACATAGATCAGGGTTGTGTGTGGACACAAACTATGGAGTAGACTGGAGAGATACTGAGGTAAACAGTGGTTGATGGTTCCTTGTGAAGGTTAAAATCTTGATTGTCAACTTGACTGGACTGACAGCTGCCTAATGGATTATTAAGGCATTGTGTCTCTGAGGGTATTTCCAGAAAGGATTGACGTGAGAGCAACTGAGAGTGAAAGACCAGTCATAAATCTGTAGCACCCCCTAGTAAGTCTAAGGCCTCGATAGGATAAGATCCAGTGTTAGAAAAGGTCAGCATGTGTATGCTCCATTCTTCTGAGTGTGAATCTATTCCTGCTGCCCCTGCCAGTGGATATCAGACATCAGCTTCTTCAGTCTTTTGGTATGGACTCCCTCCAGTCACTCTCTAGGGAACTCCTCTAACCTTCAGACTGGGACTACATCATTGGTCTCACTTGTTCTCAGGTGTCCAGTTTCATGGACAGTGACTACCAGGGTCTCCTCCTCTCCAGCATGCAGTCAGCATGAGACTGACTAGCCTCTACTCATGTAACTTGATCCCGTAAGTCCCATTTGACAGTGATGCATATATTCTAATGCACACCTTGGTATCAGTGTCACTGGAAGCAGCATTTGTTCAAACCCAGAGAGGTTCCTAAAGAGCAAGGACCTCCACCAGTGGTATTCAGTTTATGACCCATGATGCTGTGTTCAGAAAATGGTGCTGACTTGAGTTCATAACACTTCATAGAAAAGAACTTAAAAGATGAGTCTAGTAAGAAGTTTTATTTAGCAGCATACAGAAGAAAGAAAACAAAGCAGAACACAAAACACATCCCTGGAGATGTGGGCACATGAAGAGTGCCAAATGCTTGGTTAAGATATATTTATAAGGCTCAAGTAATCCAGGAGAATTTAAACTTTCCTCCAAATAAGCATCTGGTTATACTCAAATCATTTTGCTATTGTAAAATTTTAGCTTTATAACCCAAGCAAGGAAATAGTGAGTCCGAGGTGATTCTGCTAACTGAAGGGTCATGGGCACCTGTTCTTGTAACTGGGGCAAGGTCAGAGCAACTATTCTCTTACACATTGTTTAATTGGGAGTGTTTAGAAAGAAATGTCTACTCTTTATAGTATTTAATTTTACCATCTTACTCTTCTAATTATATCTTTATGTTTGAAAATATGCCATGTTCTTCCTTTTATGATTCTGATTTAAGGCAGGAGATCCCATCTGTAGGAAGTAACTGTTTTTTTTGTTTTTTTTTTATTGTCAGTCATAGGGCTTGAACCCTGAGCCTGGGCACTGTCCCTGAGCTCTTCAACTCAGGGGGAGCACTCTATCACTTGAGCTACAGTGCCACTCCCAGTTTTCTGGTGGTAAGAGTCTCACGGACTTTCCTGCCCGGGCTGGCTTTGAACTGTGATCCTCAGTCTCCTGAGTAGCTAGGATTACAGGCATGAGCCACCAGCTCCCAGCACTATTCTCCTTTTAACAAGGTCTCCTCTTAGTCCAAGGATGAGTTTGTATCAGATACTCTTCTTGAGATAATTACAATGTATTTACCTAAAGCAAATCATTAATGTATGGTTGAAAGTACTGTTATTGTAGTGAGGAATGGGAGACTTCACTGGTTTATTGGTATAGTGCTTCTTAGCTCCTGGTTCTTTTTATTTTTTTGTCTCATGCTTCAGTATTCCTAACTTAGCCTGTCTCCCCCAGAGTGGTTCTAGAGAAACAGACCTGTGTAATTGGTTTGTGGTTCCTGGAGTTACCACTATAACTGGACTAGATGTAAAGATGCTAAAGACTCTCGGGTAATGTAGGGAACACTGATAACCTATGGCTTGGGCTGCTTACAGAAATCTAATCAATCACCTGTGAGAGTCAAGGAATTTGGTGACTCTACAAATGATACTTTTGTGTTACTTTTGAACATTATTGTAAAATTAAGAAATATAGTGATGGTGTCTGGTTGCTTCTGCCACCAGTTTAACAAAAGGAAAAGAACTAGCTCTGAGATACCAATTTCTCAGCTACAGATGTGCACAAGCAAACTAAAGGCCTCTAAGTGTGCCTTGAAGGAAAACTTCTCCCGTAGACATAGGGCTGAGTTGCCAAAATCCAAATACAAACAACACATCAACTGGCTGGATTGCAAGGCAAGTTTAAATGGTGTCTGCAGTTCAAATGAGGGCACTGCTTTTTAAAAAGATGGGATCCTGTGGCTGGGATGTTATGGGGAGGGTCCTGATGAGACTGGGGACATTGAACTCTCAAATTGTGATGGCTTTACTTTGCCAAGGAAGTGACCTTTCCACTCCTCTACAGTGTGGGCCTCTCCACCTCTATCTGAGGAACCTAATCCTGCAGCAGGTCAATCGTGCCAGAGACATGTTACTTCCAAGGTTTGTCAGAAGCACAGATCCTATTAAGTATGTCTTCATTGCTGTTTACTTCTCTCTTCTTCTGCAAATCTGTTCTGCTTGGTGCTCATTCTTCTCATAAAAAGAGTTTCTTTTCCTGTCTTCCTTACTGATCTTAAATATTGAATCATATCCATTGTATACGTCATTACTTTCTACTCTGGGAAACAATTCAGGTTCTTTGAGAAAAGGCTGAATTTACAGTATAAAAATAACCATAAACACCTGTAAGCCAAAGCTCTGCCTCTCCTTCTGGGAAGCCTCCCAGCCCTTGGTGCTGGATCAGGCAGCCTGGGCTGACTGCACTGTCCCCACCTTGTCCCACTGGCTGTCATCACTACCATCACTGCATGCTCCCAGAATTCCTGGGATTCTGGGTGGGGTTTTATACACGTTGAAGTCTGTACAACTTCCTGAAAACTCAGCTTTCCACATGGGCTTGTTAAGAGGCATTTGGGGGTGGGTGGGGGGGAAGTGACAAGAAAAAGGATTTTGTCTTTCTCCTCTAGGAGCATTTTGCAAGCACTTGCTTGCCAAAGGTGGGTGCTGGTCCCAGAAGAGCCAGCCTAGGAACATGGCAGACTATCCAGGCATGAAGCCAGGCCTTTCTGGCACTGAGAAAAGCTCTTCAGTGTAACTGAGGAGGTCACAATGTGCTCATAAAGGAAGATCTACAGCTTAGGAAGTCCCATGGCTAACTACTGCAGCATGAAGAACACATGATATTGCCTCACACTTTGTGAGACCTCTAGAAAAATGAGGCCAATTTGCTATTTAATGTTGCTTATAATGAACCGAACGGTTTACCCATCAGAAGAATCTACAAGGTAATAGCAACCATCTCAGTAGCTAATAAAGGAGGACGCTCCATTCTCCAGCCTGCTTTACCTTCCTCTAATATAAAACCTCTGGGAAGCTGTTAGTCCTGGGCAGCCAGGTTGCATCAAGCTCTCAACTAGGCAGAGGCTGAAAAGAAAAGGATACAGCAGGATAAAATCCAGGCTGACAAGACTTCCCCATGACTTATCCTTAAAGAAACAAAATTAAGTCAGGCTGAGAGGAAGAAGTCACTCTCAGCAAATTCTAAATACAGCATGGAACTTAAGCCAAATAATTCCAGGTAAATTGGTCACTGTGTAAAACTTAAGCCACAGCAAAACAAGAACAATAAGTGAATACTGCAAATCTTGGACAGAAGAGCTTTGACAGAGATCATGTAGCATGAACACACAGACGACAGGCCGAGCACCTGGGCACAGCCCCTCAGGACACACCACCATCCCTTGCAAGACAAGGACAGCATTCCCCATAGGCGTCACTTTTGGTGTGGAAGCTGAAACAATTTCAGAACAAGCAGCAATTATGGAAAGACAGGTAAATTTGGCTACATAAGCTTTAAATTTTTTTTTTGGCTGATCTTGGGACTTGAACTCAGGGCCTAGGCACTATTCTTGAGCTTCTTTTGCTCAAGGCTAGCACTCTATCCCTTGAGCCACAGCGCCACTTCTGGCTTTTTCTATTTATGTGGTACTGAGGAATTGAACCCAGGGCTTTATGGATGCTAGGCAAGCACTCTACCACTATGCCACATTCCTAGCCCTAAGCTTTAAGCTTTTTTGTATATCCCTTGTATATTCATAAATGAAGCGAAAAGACAAATAGGTTTAAAAAATCTGCAACACATGACACTTTTTAAGTATTGCATATTTTTTAAAACTTAATATGCAGCCAGCCTGACACCTGTAATCCTAGCTATTCAGAGGGCTGAGATCTAAGGACCATGGTTCAAAGCCAGCCTAATCAGGAAAGCTTCTTGTTTCCAATAAAGTACTCAAAAAAAAAAAAAAAGCAGCTAGAAGTAGAGCTATGGCTCAAGTGGTAGACTGCTAGTCTTGAGGAAAAGAAGCTCAGGGACAGTGCCACACACACACACACACACACACACACACACACACACACACACACACACACACACACACACACACACACACACAAGACCAACATTCTAACTGAGTCACAGAAACGCAAACATCAAGCAGTCACTGGTGTCTCACACCTATAATCCTAGCTACTTGGGATACTGATTGAGAGGATCACAGTTCAAGACAAGCCTAGGCAGCAAAGTTTGAGACCCCTTCTCAGCCCACAGCTGGTGCAGTAGCATGCATCTGTCATTCCAAACTCTGTAGAAGGTAGAGATCAGGAACATCGCAGTTCCAGGCCAGTCTGGGCAGAAGACTCTTCGATACTCCATCTCCAGAGAGAAATAGTGGATCCCACCTTTGATCCTAGCAATGACAGGAAGGCTAAAGGTAGGCAAATCACAGCTCATGCACGTTTGGGTGAAAAGAGAGATCTTTTCCAAAAATAACTAGTAAAAACAGTAGTGGAGATATGGCTCAAATAGTAGAGTGCCAGCCTAGCAAGCATATATTCTGAGTTTTAAAAAAAAGAAACATTGAGAATTAGGGAAAAAAATAAATTCTCACCAACGGTTGCTGTTACAGTTAAATCAACTGGAGACCTTGAGTGTCAAAAAAAGAAACAAATATAAGTAAAAATAGAAAAGATGTTTGATGTTCATGAAGAAATGGAGACTGAACAAGATGCATCAATGAGGGAGAAGAAGCACCTGCTCCAGGTAATAACTTAACTTTCTGGGACTATCATGAAATGTTAATTCAGATAAACCTATGGCTTATCCCCTGTTGTCACTGTATTTGATTTTGGTACCAGGGTACCAGGGTATTGTATATACATTTATCTCAATTAGGGAAGGGAAGGGGAATAAAATGTTGAGACAAAGGGGGAACCAATACAACAGTGATACTCACAAGACTGTTGGAAATGATCTGTACAACTTGGAGTGGAGAATTGGAGAGGGAAAGAAAGGGAGAAAAATTAGGGAGCAGTAGCAAGTTAGACAAGAAATGTAATTACTACCTTACATAACTGTAACCCCTCTGTGTACATTACCTTGACAATAAAATTCAAAAAAGAAAATTAAAACATTTGAAAACATTGAAGTTATTGTCACTGTATACTCCCATTGCCAAGAGTATACATATATTGCCATATGCCAGGCATGTAAGCCTAGACAACAATACAGAGATGCCTTATGCAGTCCTGGCAGTAACAAAGGAACAAACAATGAACCACATTTTAGCAAGTTAACAAAGGGCTAGGGAGATGATGTGATCCACATTTATGGACAGGAAGAAACACTTACTGTCATGGCACCTCACAGCTTTGCCATCTGGAAACCTACCATTGTTGTCCATGTGTTGCACATGTTGAAACTGAGGCTCAGAGAGGTCAAGCAACTTGCTCCAAGTAATGGGCCAGTGAGTGGAAGAATCTGGACTGCTGCTGTCTGCTGCTGTTGTCTAGGTTCTTAACCCCACATCCTGCTACCCCTCTGCTTCAAATTAAGTGAAAACGAGGTTATAAAGCATTAGTTTCTTGTAGTCCCAATCCTGTCCATACAGCACTCCAGCACTCAAAACAATGCCCAGTGATTGTGGTCCAGTCAAGTGCCAGCTGTACAACTAGTCCTTCCAACAAAAGAGAATGAATCAAACAAGACCAAGTTTAATATTCTTGTCAGTTATTTATTGTTAATCTAAAGACTAGCACATTTACAGCATACATGGCTCTGAATGAGCTAAGAATATATAAAACAGAAACTATATATTCATATATATTAATACTGCCCAAAACAAATAAATAAAAGTATTTTAAGACACTAACCTTGGCAAATACAGCTGTGTGTGGGAAACTGTACTATACAATATCTTTACATTTTTAAGGGGAACTACAGGCAGCTTGCTTCGGGAGCTCTGATAGAGCCCACATGGCCTTCCCAGCTGTCCACACACCTCAGCTTTTCTTTACAAATGGTGGGACGTGCTGGAGGGAACCTTTACTTGACAATAACCTGTACAACTGTCTTCTTGGTACAGCAAACAGCTTATCGAACCTCCATGCAGCCAGAGGGGCCTGAGCCCTCATTGTGCCCTGTGCCCTGTGCTACATATAGGTCACAAAACCTTCCGAGAGAATACCGAAGACTGAGTCTTTTCTGTGTGAGTAACCAAGTTCGAAGAGTTTTATGGTGACATGAAGCAAAAATTGGGAAAATAATTCATGTAAAGATACTACATGCAAAACTGCTGTCACATGACTGTCACATGACTCAACATTTGCTAATATTCCCTTTATAAACAGAGTTAATGCTCTTTGGACAATAAGAAAATCAGAAAATAATGAGTGACATTTAATATTGAGGGTTTGTTTTGTTTTTTGTTTTTTTTTGATGCTGGTCCTGGGGCTTGAACTCAGAGCTTGAGCGCTGTCCCTGAGGTTTTTCCTCAAGCCTAGCACTCTAGCACTTGAGCCACAGCTCCACTTCCAGCTTTTTTAAAGTAGTTCATTGGAAATAAGAGTTTCACAGACTTTCCTGCTAGGGCTAGCTTCAAATGGCCAACCTCAGATCTGAGCCTCTGGAGTAAATAAGATTATAGGTATGAGCCACCAGTGCCCAGCTGAGGAATCCTTTTTTAAAGCAGTGATGTCAAAATGAGAAAAGATGGAACTAAAAAATTACAAATCGAATGAAATGGCAGGGAGGGAAAGGGCTAACTCAGCCATATTAAGGAAAAATAAAAATAACCTTTGAATAGGAGGAAAACCAGACACAAGCAGTCACCTGTGAGGAAGGACCTGGTGGATAAGAGTTCTCCACTGACTCTCCACTGCCAGCTCTTTTAGGGAGGGACAGTAAACTGCAACCATCGGCTATTACAGCAGGCCTTCCTCCTGGCAGGCATCAGGAGACAGCAGGCTGTTTACACACTGATTTCTGAATACCTGATGCCAGCCTTCTGTACCTGCCAAAAACTGGTCCTGCCTGTGCCTCAGCCCTAGGTAAAGTTCGTTACATTTCTAAAGGAACCAAAGAAAATGATCTAGACCTTTAGGTTTAAGAGTTTCCAAGGTGTTTACAAATCATCAATATGTGCCACATATATTTCTTTTACAGTCTTAATATGTAAACATCATGATAAACAGAATTGATAAGACATATAAACTCCTCTAAGAAAGAAAATTATACTATGTGCAGACAAGACTCAATTACCTCATAACAGATGACCAGACATAAGTTTCCTGGCCCATAATCCCTTTCAAAATCTCATTTGAGAAGATAATTTCCACCATTTCTCAATAGTCATACAACAGCTGAGAAAAGTAACAATTATTGCAAACTTAAAAATAAGACACTTGCATCAGGCATTCAAACATGATTGTATTGTCTTTTAGAAGATCTAACGTAAATCTTGCAAAAGAACATTTGTTTTGAAATACTGTTTCCACTACTTCTAATATAAATTATTTCTCCATCTGAGTCTTTTCTCTCAGAAGTTAGACATGCCACATTTCAGGTCCCTGCTGTAATTCAACATCCAGAAAAGGGAAGGATGCCCTGTGGGCATAGCCAGTTGTGAGCTAGCTAGATCATATCTGGCTTTGTCTAAGCTGACACCTTGTTCTGCAGCTCATGAGGGACAAAATGAGTGGCCCCAGGTGTGTGAGCCCCTTTGCCAGTGACATCTCATAAAATCTTAGCTCATGGTGAAGCCCAGCTTTTCCTTCAACCTTGAGTTTCACAGGCAGCAGGTGTTGGGTGATTCATTAGAACCAGTTGTCTCACTGCACAAGACAGCTCCAGCTTGACTTAATATTTGTGGGTCTGCCTGGAATCTAACTAATGTATTACTGTTTTACATTCAGATTTTTAAAAAGGAGATTTTGAGTCAGTGCTCACTTTTGAGTACTCTGTAGAAAAATAAGTTAGGTGAGTAGTGCCTGTAGAGGCATTTGAAAAAGTCTTCTGGCATTTCAGACAAACCTAGCTGGATTCTTATCAGTAACTATTGATGCGAGCCATATAATTACAGCTGACTGCTAATTATATGGACAGTCGATGTTTTCCAAGTTATTGAGCCAAACATTACCTCTTATTACCTTCCAACAGGAAAAATAAAAACATGCTCCATAGATTATTTGGTGAAATATTTTTTTAAAATCACAAAAATGAAAGCAATCCTTCAGGTCTTCTTGAAGAATTCGTATGTGCACTAGAGGGTACCCACAATTATTATGTAACAGCTAATTAGAGGAAACCGTGTGTTCATGTTTCAACTTTTCCATAAGTCCCTTCGGGAGGCCTGTAATGCTTGGGGAAAGCCTTCAGCTGCAGGGAATTAAATGCATATTTGCGACTTCCAACATTCTTCATTGTATTTTCTCTTCGACAACCCTCACTGGGGAAAAAACAAGCACAAGAAATGACAGCAATAAAAAAGGAAAAAAGAAAAGACTTAAACTAAGATGAAATGAACTGATTATTTTCATAGCATTAGAAAAGACTGACTTAAATGGGTGCTGAATTCACCACTTCAATGAATACAGACATAAGATGGCAGGCTTCTGAATGAGGCAAGGGAGAGGCACAGGGATGCGCACATGCGTGTGGGGCTGTGAGGCTGCGTTTCTGAAAGCCTTGTGGTATCTATGTGGAAGCAGGTTTTCTGTTTAAGTTAATGGTTATTTTGTGCTTGTGGGCTGATTATTTGGGGTTCTATTGTAACTTGAGGTTCAATGGTTCTATTTACAGCAAATTTAATATGAAAAGAGAAACATTGCTACTCTTACCAAAGACTTTAAAGAGCTGTACTTTCAGATATAAGCAAGCACTATAATCACGTCAAACTCAAAATGCTCATTTTGCTTGTCTGGCTCTCAAGGCTGATATGACACCCATCCCCAACTAGGAGACAGCTAGCTGGGTATAAAGCAATCCCATAGGCCTGTGCAGTCTGCCTTGCAGGGCGTGTTATGTAGGAGTGACCTTACTGAGGTCTTTGGTGGTAGCTAGCTATCATTGTACAAGTGGAAGTCACCTCTAAAACAAATACTACTGAACCAGAGAGCCCACTGGTGCTTTTCCCTGGGAAAGTCACTGCTAACAACATTCCTATTAAATTTGATTGAGAGTTTCCATGGCAACCTACTGGCAAAACAAATGATGCCCAAGAGGAAGAGCAGTAGACCTCACATCCCCAGTGAGAGTCTCAGGGAAGTTCTCTGAGAAATGTTCTGGGGTAGACGTAAGACAGGAAAAAGCAATTTTCAATATAAATGCCTTCTCAAATCACAGTATAACTTGATTTTTCCTACTGTTCTAAGACCAGCAATGAAATCAAGTAGTTATTAAGTTCAGTATAAAATCCCCCGTATGAGATGGAGAATTTGCAATCACCAAGAAATGGTGTTTTAAAAAAAATTCAATTTGTATCAAGACCATGTTATACATATAAAAAATCATTGGCAACTGTTCACACCTTTGTAAGTGAAAATGACAGTCCCATTACAGCTTTTGGAAAGACAGTAATTCTTTTTAAAAGATAACCGTACGTATTTTAGAAAAGCATCCTCCTAGTTGCTATTAACCAATATATTGAGTTAAATATTTTCTTATCTCAGAACCTGAAGCCTTCACCTGGATAAGTGCTACCTGAGTAAAACACCTGGACCATATCAGTAACCACCCGCCCTCCAACAACTGATAATGATCACATTTAAACATTCTCTGCATCTTGTATATACACTTCTCCAACTTGGGGAGGGGAAGGGAAAAAACAAAATGCTTAAATAGGGATACAGGTTGACCCATGGTAACAATGATATGTACAAGACGCTATGTTGAAAAACAAACTTTACAATTTAGGTGGTTTGGGGGGTGAGTATAGTTTTGGAGATGGGAGGGAAGGGATGGTAGGGGAAAAACAAATGAGGGAGGAGGTAACAATACTTGATAGCAAATGTACTCATTACCTTGCTCATGTAACTGTAACCCCTCTGTACAGTATTTTCACAATAAAAAAGTATTAAAAATCAAAAAAATATAATTCTATTTTTAAAGCAGAAGCGATAAGATCCTATGTACAGTTAATCTTTAATCCTTGGAAGCCCTTACATTGACATACTATTTCACATATGGCTTCTCCATTCCATAGATAAAGACAAACTTCTGAAAACCTAGCTATCACTAGAAAATACCAAACTCCCCTGAGAAGGAAGAATAATTTGTGAATTTTGATATTTTCTTGTATTATACATGAAAGGAGCTAATACCTGGTTTTGAACACTGAAAATAATGTACATGAAACTATAATCAAGATTACCAGCTGATTTCAATTTCATTTTTAGATCATTTTTCCTATATGGTTGTTTATAAAATCTGGCTGCTGTACTAGTTCTGCATCCTGCCAGTATCCTTGTGTGAGCTCAGCTATCTGTTAGTTGGCACTCTGTCAGCAACAAGGTAAGGTGAGAAAGACAGGCCTTGGTAACTGGCATTTCCCGCTACAGAGCCAGCAATGACCGTGTGGGATGCCTAATTTTTGGGAGGCAATAACTCATGTTCAGAAGGTCTTTCCAGTCTAAGCAAGATAGATTTAATTATCCTGAAGCCACAAGTTTAAAATAATTATCAAAAAATTATACTTTTTTCAGTACACCCATCTCTCCTCCTCCCCCAGGTACTGGGATTGATCCCAGGGCCTAACATTTGCTAGGCAAGTGCTTGCCACTTCAGCAATGGCCACATACTTTTTTTTTTTTTTTGATATTTTGTTGAGATAGGGTTTCACCAACTTTTGATCTCACTGAATTTTGCCTGGGCTGACCTTGAACTCAAGATCCTTCTGCCTCTGCCTCCAGAGAGGCTAGGATCACAGGTGTGAGCTACCATAACTAACCAGAGGATGTTTATTTTTCTTTTCTTTTTCTGGTGCCATGGTCTTTTTCTTTTTTAGGGCCAGGGTCTTGCTAGGCAAGTGCTCTTCCAACCCCATGAACATTTATTTTTGAAATGAAAATTCAAATGAAAACCCTAAAGAAATCTCTAGCTTTCCTTTCCAGGAGGCCTTAGCATCCTACCACTGCCACAGCAGATTCTAGGAAGTTGCTTTGTGGAGGGAGAATATAACATCATTTTAATATCTCTGTTTGAACCAAGGCACAGGAGTAAAGAGTAAGCAGTGACAGTCATACTTGCTGAAAAGCTGAATGATATCACTAATACTTCAGCATGAACATGATTTCAGAAGCAATCTAAAAGCCATAACAAAAAAGCAATAATCCGCTTCTTGAATGATCTCCCTATCCCACTTTCATCTTACTGACTTTTTGTTAAGGCAAGTAAGATTTTGAATATGTATTTGTCCTGATTCATTAGTAAAAGGTCTTAACAACATTGAAATTCAGCATAAAGGGCAAACAGATATTTAAAGAACCTCCCCACCTCAATCACCTGCAGCAGTACCCTACCTAGCACTGGCCCCTCTTTAACTGGAGGCTCAGAGTGGTTTATTACCTTTTACCCATCTCTTGGGGGAAAAGAACAAAGAACTTACTCCTTTTTTCCTTCTCATTTCTTCCATATAGGACAGGAAGGTGGTACTGGCCATCTCCATAGGCCATGTGGATGTCAGGTTATGGTGTCCTGGAGGGCCTTGTCCTGGAAGAGCTCTTCTAGCAAGCTATGGCTAGCCATTTCTGGGCAGTGGGTCCTGAGAGGAGCCCCACAAAGTGCCACAGAGCTCTCTGGGGCTCTGAGACAGGAAGACTGTCTTATAATCAGAGGTCTACCCTTATCTAAGTGGGGTCTCTGCTCTGCCAGGCCAGAGTATGTACTGAGGCCAGAACCATGGGCATCAGGAGGGCGCCATCCAGCGCAGGAATCACACTGCTGATGAAATATGGCTGTGGACGCTACCCTCCCTCTTTCAAATGATGCTAACAAAATGGTTCAGAGCTAAAGTATATACTTTGAAGTAAAAGAAGGTAAATATGAAACATGCCTTTCAGAGAATCATAAATTAAATAAAACATTGTCAAGTGACTAAGGCATGTTGCTATAACTTGCCACTAACAACTGATTAACAGTAAGACTCTGCTAAAGGATGCCACAAAACAGCCACCACAGTTATTTTAGAAAAGACAAATATACTCACCCACAGGGTAACACAGAGGTCCCTGGGGATCTTGCAGTAATCAGCAGGTCTATAAAGAAGTATGTTTCTAGGATGGCCTTATACTGCAAAATTTAAACTGTATGACATTTGTCATTTGTTGTCAACTGCTTCTCTGACTCCTAGAACCTGTACCCTAGGTGGTTCCACAGAGTAAGAACTGCAAGGCTAGAAGAGAGAATGGAGAGACCAGATTCTGCAGTGAACTGTGTTTATGTGTACAAGGGCGATGATTCTGGAAACATAAGCTTTTCTAACTCACTCCAGTTCTTTAGACTGGTAAAAAAAAAAAAATCCATTGCACAAAATACAGCAGATGGGGGAACTAGCTGAAGGGCAACAAAATAGAAGTACAAGGTATCATAAACCAGAAGACAGAGAAGCCACTGCATTTCCTCTCAGGATGTGGGGAACATTCCCTCACCACACTTTCTGTGGCTCTCTTCGTAATTACCCTCTGCCACGTATGAATGCTAAAATCTCAAGTCATCCTGTTTTAGGACATTGTAACACAGCAGAAGTGAAAGTGAGCCTTTCTCTCTCACAGCTCTACCTGACACAACTGCTCACAAGTTAGGCCTCCTTTGTTTAATTTTTTTTTTCATATTTTTGGTTGATTATTATTAATAATACTTGATTAGTAAAAGATAAAAGATGTATGATTTTAACCTGAAATTAGGTAATTTTAAATGAAAAATGTTATTTCAAGAAAAATAAATGCATGTAACTTTAACAGCCTTTTGTTACTGTGTGCACTAATTCCTGGAAGCCGTTTAATAATCCAGTCAAGAGTAAATCTGAAGCCACATGCAACATGTTATCATTATGTGCTCCTGACATTGTACAATGTGTTATTGTATTCACAGCTGTATCATCCCCAATTAGAAATAATAAACATAAGCAAGGAGATGTTATAATGCCACAAACTGTTTGCTACAATAATCCAGGGACTACGCTTTAAAATGAAAGCAGAAAGTACATGTCCTATTAAATAGGTTTGTCAAGAGAAGCCAGTTATAAAGCATCTATCTTTTTCTTTTCATTTTTCTTCAAAAGGAAAGGAAAGGTTACCAATACACTTAAAGAACAGTATCAAATATACAAATTCTTTTCAGACAGAATCCCTTTTTCTTGGAAACAGGGCACATGAGATGTACAGGAAATAATAATAAATAGTTTTACATAAAAAGGCCAGAGATTTGGTACAAGTAATTCCAGGCCAGTTA